TATGTATATTATACTGATGTTTGTTTTATTCTTTACTCAATTAGTTTACGGGGGACCCGTCAATAACGTTCACTTAGGCTGGAAAGTTGGAAGTTTCATGGCAAGCAGATAAGTAGAACTCACGCAACATGTGTTTCGCCTGTCACGAATCTTCAGTGATGTGCTTTATCTATGAACAGCCTGTGATACTACTAAATCGTAGAATATCACTTGTAGTATTAGGGAACAATTCTAGCAATTCCAAATTTTACTACAGTGACTTTTGCGAAGGTAGGCGATTATTGAGCGTCCTAACATTTCTTCCTTATGGACTGATTATTTCTCATTCTTGCGCATTTGTTATCAATAGTATTAGTTTCAGCAAAATACGTGTTTGCTGTGATGGTGCTATCTTTGAAGCTTGACAGATCGCACTGCACGAACATTGGTGTCGTATGCAATCATTTTGATGGAGATGTTCTCATGTAGGCACCTGTCAGGCGAGTTGCGTCTTCTCTTTTGCATATGTCGAAATGTGTGCTGTACTGAGGTGTTGGTTCGTTAAAAACTAACATAACCTCCTACTACCACATGCAATTTAGAATGAACATCGTGAGATAGAACTTGTTTGGCACGTATACATCGCTTGGTGTGAGAATATACCTGCGATGTTTTCTGCCGACCTAACTATAAGTTGAATGTAAATGAATTGCTTACTTGAGTGACGTGATACTGCTTGAAGGGACTGAATTCTCTTTTAGGCTTTGATATATTGTTTGTTCTTTAGATATCAGGTTTACTTTCGTGATGAATCGGATTGGTTTATTTTGTTTTCCCCGCGTAACTATCCTGTATATATAGTGTTTCGCATTGCTGCTAGAGTTGCGATTTTAAAGAGGGCAGAACTATATTCGATTTAGCTACTACAGTTACCCGAAAGTGGAATGAAAGCTGTAGGCATCCCAAAACTTAACCGTCATTGGAATAAATGTGCTAGAGTCACTATGTTTTCGAACAATATGTTCTCGTTCGTTAAATTGTATAATGTGCTTCCTCTTTCTCTCACAGCGTACCCTAACTCTGTCCTTTCACCTTGATCCCTCATCTCCAGCTCTACAGTTCCTATGTATTTAACTTGCGGCAAATCATTCTTTATGCTGGGTCTGTAATGTGTGTAAGTTATGTTCTTGGTAGGCAAGTGTAGAACACTCGTATGTTGTTGAAAAATCGTAGAAATCGTGTGTCCCATAATAAAATAAATTGTGACTTGAATGTAAGTTCCAGATTTAATTTCTTTTTAGTTTTGTTAAATAGCCGGTTGGTAATAGCGCGCATACGTATTTTTCGTCGAGGCTTTTTAACTTAGTTGAGCTTTAGCATATCGAGGCTTTAGCTGTAATCGAGGGGCTTTAGCTTAGTCGAGTCTTTAGACTTTGTCGTGCTTTAACTTATTCCAGCTATTAGGGCTTTGTCAGTGCTTAGACGTAGTCGAGCTTTAGAATAGTCGAGCTTTAAGCTTAGATAATTGAGCTTTAAAGCAGTCACCCGCGCTTTAGCTTAGTCGTCATATTACGCGTGTTTTTCAAACCGCGTGATTCTCGAATCGGCCGGTAATCAAGTGAGTTCGCTAGTTAGCCAAGGGTTGTATCACGTCATCAGGTCACCGGTCATTGAGAAAATCGGTGAAATCTGCGAGTCGAGTGGCGCTCTCGGTTCAGTGCGTATATGTACATATATTCTGTGCATCGTGCAAAGCACGCGAAGGTCGCACGTGTACGCCACGCAGCGCACCAGAATACTGTAGGCATCACAACGACCCAATCGCATCGTATGTGCTACTGTGGCGTCGAAACTACTCGATAATGTTTTTCACAAATGACTAACCGCAAAATTCGTAGGCAGAAATTTGCGCCGCAAGCTGTACTTAGAACTCGCATATTAGGCTTTACCAAAGGCATGCTGCCGTTTATTAGTCGCGAGCGGCGTACAGTAATAATAGAGATGGAAAGAATGTGTATGTGCTGTGTCAGTGTAAATGCGATACAGCCGCCGTATCAACGACGGTAGCAAGAAAATCCGGTATTAGCGTTGACGGAAGGCCAAAATGCGCGTCCAGAGAAATAAGGTATCTCAACAGAGTCGGTATTCTCAGTACAATACGCCGCTTCCCAAGACCCGGCCCTGAATAATTTGCCGTGCTTGAGAAATACGGATGCTCTTGGCCGCGCATTTCCTCGTGTGACACGCTAAATACCGGTATTTTGAAGCCCGCGTATCTTCATTCTCTCTGCACAACAACATAACGGAGGAGGAG